GAAGAAAAAGAATATAGCTGAGAGAACAAGTGGGCCTCCTAGTATTTTCTTTGCCGAAAAAGGCTTTCGCCCCGCTTTATATATAAAGCACGAACCCAACAATCCGGTACAAACGCACGCCAACACAACACATGCACACACCCAAGGCATGATACATAGGCGCGCTGAGCGCGGCAACACCACCCCTAGCACTACCACCGCAAAGAGATGAAGCCGCATATGACGAACCGTGGGCTCCAAGGCGGCGCCTTCAGGAAGGAAACGACACCGGAGCGCCGCCGTCGCCCAATTCGAGGATCAGAGTTTCCCCCGGAGCCGCACGACGGGCAATGAGAGCCGCGACGACGCCTTCAAGAAGGGAGCGAGCTTCGCCGCCGCCGGTCCGTTCGAAGATAGAACAGGTTTTCACCCCGGGTAACACTCACCGCCACCGAACGCCACACCCCGGCAACCATGCCGCCCACACAGCCATGGTCACCGGGCAGCACCAAGCCACGGCCTCCGCCCGAGAGACCGCGCAACCACCACCAGGGTCGCCGGCCCGGCATCCAAGACCTTGACACCACCTCACCCGAGAGCTGCCGCTAACCCAACCAAAGAGACGAGCGGAAAGGTCTGACCTTTCGCACCCCTGGGCAACCCCTAGCGCCGAGACCCAATGGGCCGGCCACCTGGCCTCCATCGACCCGTCCTGCAGCACCGAGCGGGAGGCGAGCTCGGTCCTGCAACACCGTGCGCGAGACGAGGTCGGTCCTGCTGCACCGTGCGCGAGACGAGCATAGTCCTGTGGCACTGTGCGCGAGACGAGCTCGAACATGTGCACCGGGCGCGAGACGAGCGATGGACCGCAACTGGGAGAAGACCAGCCCTTCGCCGAACGTAGCGACCGGACAACGAGGAGGGGAGCCAAAGGCTGATACAAGCCGCCTACGGACGAACCGACGCCAGGACGTGCCATCCGTCGCCAAAGCTGACTCGCCAAACCACCGTGGAGCCATCCACGTCCGGAGCAGCGGCCACCCCGGTCACTGCCCAACCCGCGCCGCCTAGCGAGCTCCCTGCGTTGGAGCCGCCGGGCACGCACCCGCACATCCCGTCGCTCCCACGCACCAACCCCCGAGCATCACGCCGAACGCCGGAGGGTCAGAGATTAAAGGCCCCATCTTGGGGCCCCTGGTCGCCGACAAACCAGCCCACAACGGGTCATGAGCGGCAGCGGCAGCGGCAGCCACCAGGGAGGCCGGATCTGGCGCCCGACCCGCTGGATCGACGCAGACGCCGAGGGCAGAGGAGGCAGAGACGACAAGAGGAGGGATCCGCCGCCGCCCGGTCCACCGGGCCTAGCCACGGCACGCACCGCCGCCCATAGCCTATCGCACCGCAACCAAGGGGTCGCCATCCCGACAGCACCCACGGCCACGCCCCATGCTCAGCGCCGCGCCACCGCCGACGGCCACGGCCCGCGCCGCACGCCACCGAAGAGGGGAAGAAGAGAGGCCCGCCGCCGCCTACGTTGGAGGGGCTTCGCCCACCAACGCGTCACCGGCGGCGGCGAGGGGAGGGAGGGAGGGGTGGGGGAGTTCGGTGAGGGGCTAGGGTTTCCTCCCCGGGCACCCGCGGGAGCGCCACGGGAGAGGAGAGGAGCGCACGCCTACGCTTATGCGTGTAGTCCCTAGTATTTTCTTTCACCATCGATGTGTTTGGTTGCTCGCTTTTGGGCCAACCAGGTCCGCGCGGAACGAAAATGAGCTGTTTGGTTGCCTGGCCTGCACTCACGTCTCGCCCCACCCGGAATTCAACGCGGTCCCGGGCCAGGCCCGCAGCTACTACCGAATCGGCAGTTTCTCCGTAGCCAGACTAAGCGCGGCCATGCATGGCTCTTCGCTGCACGCCCCGGGGAGCGCGGGAGACGGATGGGACGTCTCATAACTCCCCCTCTCTCGTGTCACCGCTCACTCCCTTTCGCGCCACGCTTCCTCACTCTTCTCTCACCGCCCGTTGCTCTCCTTCCCTCTCCTCCGATGAGTCATCCACCGCCGCGCCGTCCACTGACCCCATCAGCGCCGGCAACATCCGCATCCACGAGCAGTGGGTTGCCGGCTTGGCAAACTCGAGGGTCGATCTCATGCGAGCTCTACGCGTGCCGTCTCCTCCCTGCACCAGGCCGCCTCATCCGACCGATGTACTGTCGGCCGCTCCGGCTCCGTCGTCGTCTCCGGACCTCGTGGTCCTGGGCTTGATGGGGCCGCCAGAGGGGGTGGCCACTACATCGCTGCTCGGAATCCCTGTGGATGGGGGAGGTTTACCCCTATCCGAGGGTTTTCTCTGGGCAACGGGGCAGGCCCATGGACGACGGCACCCTCTTCCTCAACCGCGCGCGTGGTCACGAGCACCGGGCCATTGTCGGCATTGGCAGTGGCTCCTCCTCTTCGCCAGCCATCTCCTTCCCACCTGGGTTTTCTCCCCGACTGGCGTACGCTCGAGCTCCACCTGCTCCGATAAGAACCAAATCTCCCCTCTGCTCGTAGATTTGTAGATTAGGGTTTTCATCGCCATCATGCCAATGAATCGATTGGATTGGATCCGATTCCAATTGAATCCAATCGAATCGATTAGATTTGATCCCGTCTTGCATGTTATTGTTCATTAGGCAGGTAGTGTTCATGCTTTTTTGTGTTTGATGTGCATGCTTAGTAGTGTTCATGGGCATGCAAGATTGGTGTGTGTTTGATGTTCATGCTTAGTGCTCATGATGAACAATGTGTTCATGGGCATGGTAGATAGGTGTTGTGTTTGATGTTCATGTTTACTGCTCATGGGCAACAATGTATTCATGATGCTAGCCATATCGGTGTTGTCTTTGATGTTACTGCTTGGTGTCCATGTGCATGTTATCTAGATTGGTGTGTGTTTGATGTTCATGCTTAGGGTTCATGGGCATGCTAGCTATATTGGTGCTATCTTTGATGCTCCTGCTTAGTGTTCATGATGCTTGTTCTGTGTTTGATGTTCATGCTTAGGGTTCATGGGCATGCTAGCTAGATTGGTGCTGGAATGGGCATGCTATGTTGCATGATTTTGTTACGTGCATGATTTTCATGGTAGGTAGGACCAATGTGTTTGCTACTTTAAGTACTAGTACAAATGTAGCATGCTGTCAATGCCATGTTACTAATCCATGTCATCTTACCTCACAGGGCCGGAGGAGAAGCCGATGTCGTCGCTGGCGCCGAGGCCGCCGTGGACTTCATCCCCACAAACCGCTGGCTGAAGAGGGTGAACCTGCCTAGTAGGGTCGCCTTCATGTGCCTGCCACGAGAAGGGGTCTCGAGAGCCGCTTTGCTTTTACGTGCAAATAAGGACGGGAAGGATCTCGCCATGCTCGTGTGGTGCGAGTTCTGGGTTCAGGTCCAGAACTCCGAGGTGTAGATGGTGCTTGGCCAAGGCTTGCAGTACTTCTGCCGCCACCACAGGATCGTTGCGACCTCGTCGTGCTGCGCATCTCCAGTCTAGGCCTTAAGGTCCAAATCTACAACCACGGCAGCTCTATCAAATGCAGGGTGCGCTGCAGCAGTCACAACTGCATCGATGACCTTGCTTTCGCCCTCTAAACTTGTTAGTATGAACTTGTGGTTAGTTTGCTGCGGTGATGGGAGAACTTGCTGTGAACTTGTTAATATTTTTTCCAAGGTTCAGCACCCCAATGATGAAGCAGGGGCATGGGATGCCCATGCTGTCCTTGAACTTATTATGCCTAGGCCTCAAGGTCCAAATCTACAACCACGACAGCTCTATCGAATGCAGGGTGCGCTGCAGCAGTCACAACTGCAACGATGACCTTGCTTTCGCCCTCAAAACTTGTTAGTATGAACTTGTGGTTAGTTTGTTGCGGTGATGGGAGAACTTGCTGTGAACTTGTTAATATTTTTTCCAAGGTTCAGCAACCCAATGATGAAGCAGGGGCATGGGATGCCCATGCTGTCCTTGAACTTATTATGCCTATTAGACCGTGTATGCAGCCAAATAGTTGTAGTTTGCATCTGCTCACCCCTTAAACACAAATGCAGGCAACCAAACAGCCAGCCCTAAAACAGCCATTGATGCAATGCAAGCAACCAAACACCATGCAGATGTTGAATGCAGACAACCAAACAACATGCAACCAAACACGTCCCATATGAACCCCAGAAGATACATAGATGAGGGGACTGGTGGAGTGGAGGGGTTTTATCAAATTGCATATATCTAGCAACATACGAAACCCACAAAATAAGCATAGCCAACATGTTGGAAGAACAAGATGGGTACAAACGGTAGCAACCATCAGGAGGATGCCAAAATGCAGCGGCGTGGGACGAGGCCGAGCACATGCACCAGGTGAAAACCCCACTGCGAAAAGAAAGAAAATTACGCCAAAAGCACTGCGGCGTTTTGCAGCAGGCATGTGTGGCAGACAAAAGGCACATACATCTCAAGAGAAAAAGCAAACGACGCACAGAAAAGTAGCAACGGCCAGGCTTGACCACAATGGGACCAAACAAGAGGAAAAGTCTACTGGCAATCTGGCATGCATGCCTTGCTGCAGCAATGCTCTGCTCAGGTCCAGTGTCTCAGGTTTTTCTCAGGACAGCATTGCCTACCACTTTTTTCCCTGTATTTTTTCAAAATAATGGGAGACAGCCTCCCCTAACACAAATAATCCTCTAATTTTTTTTCCCAACACATAAACATCCTTTGGTGTGCATCAGCAAAACTATGCCGCAGAAGAAGAGCACAAGGTTCTGTTTTAAGGCATATTAACTAGGACGACTGGTCTTTTCCGCGGAAAGTTCAAGTATGTATCCCAGAATAAGCTACCAAAAGTTCTGCCCGGGGGAGAAAACTATGGATCAATCCTTCTCCTACAAAAGTTGGAATGAAAATAATTAGCACCTTCGCATGCCTGAGGCAGAAATTGAACAGCTACTCGGAAATTACTTTGCCGTCTCCTCCGATTTTCCTTAAGGTTGGAACATCCTGGCATATGCCTTGCGCTCCTTATCTCTCCTGTTGGAGATCTGTAAAAGTTTGCGAGGAGTTGGTAACGATTAACATTTTTATATTCAGATACTAGGTTCACCACGAAATCAGACTGACCTTCTTCTTTGCAGCAGCCAGCTCGCGTTTAATTGCTCCTGCGGGTTGCAAAACAAATTCATTAGACACCCGGTTGCGGAGAGAAGGACCGACGATGAAGAGAAAAGAGGCAAACCATCGTTCGGCTCCAAGTCCAATGCATGCTGGAAGCTCTCCACCGCTGCATCAATGTCATTAAGTGCTATGTGTGCCTGCAGATCACATTCAAGTGACCATATATCAACAAGTGGTAACAGTACGACACATATTATTGCTGTTGATTGATATATGTAGAAGGCACGGAATATATTGTTCGACTAAACCGCACATACTTAAGAAATCAACATTCACATCCATGAATTGTCGAAACAAATAATATCAACAAGAAGCAACAAAAGCGAACTTGAACACAATTCTCTTTGTGTTGTTTTTTCTTGGGAATGTCAAAAGAAAAAAAGGCAGCCCGGTGCACATAGCTCCCGCTTGCGCAGTGTCCGGGGAAGGGTCCAACCACTTTGGGTCTATAGTACACAGCCTTTCCCTACATTTCTGCAAGAGGCTGTTTCCAGGACTCAAACCCGTGACCTCATGGTCACAAGGCAAGGCTGCGCCAAGGCTCCCTTTCGGGAATGTCAAAATAAGAGATGGATTTAGACATTAGATGAAGACCTATTGCTAGCTATAAGCTACTGCAAATAGTGGATCTACTTGGAGGAGGAGCTGCATATGTGTAGTTATATAGCTAAACATCAATCTATATAGTTTTGGGGTCCAAAAAATATATAGCGCCACTATATCTACCTATTTAGAACCTACTCAAATTCAGATTTTAACCAAAAATTATTATACGCGCTATATAGGCTTGTCACCATATTGGGTCAAACATTTTTCTAAACAACAAAGAGTGTATAACCTTACACTGTGCATGTCAGATTCAAGTCAAGATATCTTAAATGAAGAGGGTAAATATTGTTAAGCACTCCAAATAAGATGAGCCCTTGGAAACGTGAAAATAGAATCATTAAAGAGAATAACCTGTCCTTGTCGGAAAAAAGCCTTAGCATTGCCCTCTGTTTCACGCAGCGCAAAATCTGCATCCAACAAAGCACCCTTCAAATCTCCCAGCTTCATTTTGCATGCCTGAAGAAATCACCTCAGTTTCAGGAAACAAGCAACATGGTGTAACAGAGTGTGCAAATGTTTGGATTACTTAAAAGATTATCAGACACTAATAAATCATATCTATCATACGTTTCTGAGTTGGTAAACAGGAATTAACAAAATTATTGCCGATGTACGGTTGAAAGGGTTCACACTGCTGCAGGCGAGAATAGCATTCGACTGGCAACAATTCTTTGACAACAGTATAATAAAGCATGAATATAAAGCTACTTGCATAATAATATGCAGAAGAAAGAAGTATACAGTGCTCGCAAAGTAAATAGAAAGCAATGAACAACATTGATGATTGGAGTTTACACTTCTACAGAACACTACAATTCTACGAACTCCATGGAAGGGCTTATTTATTCACAAGGTACTCAAAGACTAATCTATAGTTGGCTTTACATAGCAACTTGAAGGGAGACAACCTAGAGCGCTGGGGCCAGAGACATGAGCCATGTAGCACTCTATCTAGCTTAAGTTATGTAACTCTCCAAGAGCTTGCTAGATGCTACAAGCCAACAACAAATGTGCCTAAGTCAGCTAGTTAAGATAATATTAACAATGTGGTTTTCCCAGATAAAAAAAATAGCATATACGCATCCAGCAAAGTAATTAACTTACAGAGCTATTCGTGAGTATTATGGACTTGGTCTTCCGCAGTGCTGAGCTCTTCTCTGCATATCAAGACATGTTCATAATACTTATAAGTGTCATGTGACATGTTTTATGATCAGTATGTACGATGCGACAGAACCAACAAAAAAGCTGAGCAATTGTTGTGCAGAACAGAAATAGTAAAATTTGCCTTCATCTATCTCTTCTTTCTCCCAGCAAACATCCAAGTAGCGCAGGGCTTTCCTGTACTTCCTCAGGGCCGTCTTGTAATGCTGTTTCTGTAGAGAGTAGATGAACTAGCTTTAACTTTAGGTACCCAGATAGGGAAATACAACATTACATGTGTGCAAAACTAGGTTAGCTCAGCGCACTAATAATGAAACATCTATGAAACGCATACAAGAGTCGTGACTATGATGCTAAGTATCTTATATGTCATAGGATATGCTTGACAAAGAAAGTGAAAACTTATTCTAAAGTTAAGATCCAAATGTAGATAAAGGTGGATGTTCATATCACAGAAAGTGGAGAGTATAAATGATAACTACAAAAACTCCAGGGTCTTCTGTAGAGCCACTAGTTCAAGTCCAAATGCGGTAGATCATGGTGGATATTCATATTGCTAGAAAGTGGAGGGTACACAAATGCTAAGTTGCTAACAACAAAAAATCCAGGGTCTTTTGTAAAGTGTCTGTGGATTTCACAAAGGTTGATCTGAGCAATCAACATTCAATCTAGTCCCTCTGTAAACTAATATAAGAGCGTTTAGATCACTAAAATAGTGATCTAAACACTCTTATATTAGTTTACGGAGGGAATAATAGTTAAAATTGTTGGTTTTAAATCCTATCTAAAAGATGCACAGGTTAGAATAGTATCATTCACTGCAGTAAACATTGTTGTGAAATTTGAGAACGCATCTGAGATATAAGGGCAAACTAGTAAAGTTTAGTCTGGAAATGTGGAAATACCACTAACCTAAACAAAATAAGATATAGCTTAGCTAGGACGGAAATTACCTTGAAATTATCATTCCCAAAAGCCTTAGCAGACTCCATGGCTTCCATCCACCATGAAACCTCTGTAGGCTTCTCATCAAGATCATTTGGCCAGTCAGGATACATGTCACCATCCTTGAAAAAGTTCACAACTCCATCATCTGCACCTTCAGGAAGTTCCCCACATTCAGCAATTACGGCATCAACTGTGGGACGGTCAGCTTCTCCAACAGGAATGTGCTCACAAGAGCGAACCACACCCATTCCCTTTATTACTCTCGCAAAAACTACATGTTTCCCATCTAAATGAGGTGTTCGGGTGGTAGTGATGAAAAATTGAGATCCATTTGTGTTGGGGCCAGAATTAGCCATAGATAATATTCCCTTCCTCTCATGCTTTAAAATAAAATTCTCATCCTCAAATTTCGAGCCATAAATCGACTCCCCTCCTGTTCCATCACCAGCAGTAAAATCTCCACCTTGTACCATAAAACCTTTGATAATGCGATGGAAGTATGATCCCTGCAAGAATATCAATTACCAAAGATGTGTCAAGTGCTTACTGTGAAGAACTAGCAAACGAATCAGTGCAGCATAAACAGTTGTGCCAACATCAAACTTTCGCCATGACTTTTGTTGGTTGAAATTGGAAAATGGAAATTAGAAAAAAAATAGTTTTCAACACAAATAAATTCCATCCATTAGAAGAAGAATGATCATCGATAATATCAGAACTTAAGATGGTGGGAGGATCTTTCAAGAAACACTACAACCAAAAATACCATGCACATTCAGAATCCATATCCAAATGCACATCTCACAGCCTCCAACATGTGAGCAGAAAGAAATCAGCAAGTACTTCTGCACTTGCGCACGCATCACTGTTCTCACAAACATTAGTTTCACTCAGGTTGAGTGCGGAAGGCGAAGAAGTTACCCAAACGCTAAGCACGTGGCAACCAACAAACTGTGTCCTCACTTTATGTAAGAACAGTGACCAAAACATAAATCAAAATGAGTGGCAAACAAAATCAAGATACAGTGATGGCTTCTGTCCCTTCCAAAAGGCTACAAGGCCAGCTACCCAACGAATGTTTCTTTATGGAGACAAAATTCTCCCGATTACTCAAAATTGGTCTGCTATCTTTTCGCTTAAAATAAAGAGGTGCAGTGTTTTGCACTAATCGGCCTGTCAATGGAATATTTTCTGATGGAAGTACCACATGCACACACTATTGCGAACAGCACCGTAGTTCCTCGCGTGTAGAAGAACCTCCATGTGATCTAATCACTGAATTGTAAGGCTGATAGCAAATCATTGCCTATTCATACACAGATTTAAGAGCACTGTAGCAGCACGAGGCAGATGTGCCAACTTTTGAGAGGGAAAAAGGAGTGTATTTTCCAGGTTCCGACAAGCACATGTCTGCACACAAAAGCTACCACGTGATGGTACTTATAGGTTAATATATGCATTGTGCAATTTTGGAATGAAGTCAAAAGGGAGGGGGCCCTTATTAACAGTGGCAGGACTTGTGGTAGCAGCGTTAACTGCACATCAAAGGACACGAATTATTTTTTGACAGGCAAAGGACAGGATTTGACATCACAGGGAAAGTAATAGTACCACTTCTGAGTACAGAGGAAAAAGTAGGCACTGGTCCGGTTAGGTTAGAGCATAGATTGAGCAAAATCCAGCCATGTGACAAAAGGGGGCGACATTTACAAAGACGGGTTCCAATTATCAGGAGCGGCTGTGTAATTACACGGGAAGCAAATCCCTCCCGACAAAAACGAAGCCTCTGAAGAAATTGATCTACAAGAAATAGGAGTGCAGACCATACGAAATCCGGGTCAAAACCCTACAATAAACTGTTAATTGCATCAGGAGAAAGCACTTTTTGCTGAAAAAGCAAACAGGAGCAGCCAAATCGCACCAAAACTCAGATGTTCCTGCACTAAACGGCACAATTATTACGCAAACTTACTACCGAATCGCTCAAAGGTGTCGCTCAACCAGACGAAATTGCATTTGCCACCACTGAATCACTCGGCAACAGCACCGAAGGAATCATCAAATCGGACGGTGCTCTAATCAGTCAACACTCGACACTAACCTTATAGTGGAGCGGCTTGCCGGAGGCGCCGACGCCCTTCTCCCCGGTGCAGAGCGCGCGGAAATTCTCCGCCGTCCGCGGGACCACGGACGCGTACAGCTCTATGACGATCCTCCCCTCCATCTCGCCGCCGATGGTGATGTCCATGAAGCACCTCGGGTTTTTCACCTCCGCCGCCGTCGCCGCCGCTGGGGCCGGTGCTGCGCCCTCGCCTCCGCCCTCCATTGCTCCGAAGAAGGGACTGGAGATCAAACCCTAGCCTGGGAGCAGCTTCACGAGGTGCGGCGGAAGCGGAGATGGTGGTGGCGCTCGTTGGTTACCACGGGAGAATAACGGCGA